TATGCATATTAGATTAGTCCATCCCAAACAGCAGCCGGATAAACCAATTGCAAGGTTGATGGTATTACAGTACGAATGGGTCAAAAAAAAATCGAACAGGGTACGCTTTATCAGATTTCAACTCATCTAACATGTGCGGTAACTGCAGGAGCACACATCCACGCTGCATTGAAGAACAGAGTGCATGCAGCATCCAAACACTCTGGGTGGGTAATAATCATCTGACAGAGCTCTATTTTTGTGTGAATATGATCCATGTGTGATGTGATTCCAGTCTTTTTCAATTTGTATGCTTGTCAGTTCAAGTTAAATATGCATTATGTACACTGAGGATCACATAATTCAAATCTGTGTTATCTAGTCATCGGCCCTCTTCAGTAGCTCTTCTCTTCTGACTGTTGATAGTTGCATGACACAGACAACTGCTGCATTAACTAACATATTTCAAAGGAACAAAGCCAGTTCAGTTTAGGGCCATCAGAACCTGGGAATGAGGAATAGCATTGAATAATTGGACTGAATTTCAGACACTGTCCCTCAATCACACTTTGATCAAATACTCTACAGAACTCACATTGTTTTTGGTTTTCTCTGTACATGCTGTTTCTCTGAAAGCAAAACCACTACCGCACTTTCGCAAACACCTGTAGCACTTCAAAAAATCCTTTGCATAAATGGTGATGAATGGATTTGTTGGGATAGATGTGCAAAGTAGGCTGATGCTTCCGTGACAAATTAGTGTCCCATGAAATACAACAGTATTAAAATTCTAGCTCTAAAAACACATTGTAAATAACTAAATACATTTTTCAGCATTAATAAATAATAATAAATGTTACCTTATAGCATCAAATCAGCATTTTAGAATGATTTCTGAAGGATCATGTGACAGCTTTGCCATCACAGGAAAAAAAATTTGATTTGAAAATATATTAAAATGAAAACCAGAAACCAGTTATTTTAAATTGCAAATAATATATTTTACAATATTACTGTAAGAGACATTATGCTCTATTTATAATATTTTGTAGTTCCACTGTTAAACACTGGGTGGAGTGTGGGTTTTAATAGGTATCTGGGTAGACAGGAGCTGAAAAGATGAAATATTATGTGTTTTGGCATCAGAACAGTGACAAATAAAGGGATAAATGCAGTACTGGACTGGAAGCATCTTGTCTGAGTCTCACACCTCAAAAATAATCCTGCAACACCTCTAAGTAACAAGGTGGTCATTGTTGCTTGCTACAATTACTTTTTACTGTATTTTAATCAAATAAATGCAGTCTTGTTGAGCATAAGAGATTGCTTTTAATAAACAAAACAAAAAACCCTAATCCGAATTGTATTGTATTTCATATATATCAACAACAACAAAAAAAACAAGTATCGACAATTCAGTCGTTTAAAAAAAGAGAGAGAGGAAAATTAGTTTAGAGAGTAACAGACATTTAAATAGAGACAACCAAATAAACCTCAAATGATGTAGAAAGACAAGCCACCTACTGTGAGAGTAAAAAAGACAGATTTAGACAGACTCCAAATCTGAGAGAGATAAAGAGAGAAAAGTTTCCTGAAATGATATTTCATCAGATATTCAGGCGAGTTGTTAAAAAAAATTTCAAAATGTGGAGGTTCATGACTATGTATATGTGTGTGTGTGTGTGTGTGTGATCATAAAACATCAAAGAACAAAAAAATCAGCAGGACGGAGCTGCCAGACTTCGTTTCATAATTAACACAAAAGCGAGATACAGTCCTGCATAATGAACTCTCTGTGAATGACAGCAAAAGAATCGCGGCTGTTTAACAGACCCAGACCAGTTATCACAGCGAGCTTAAGTCTCCTAATGACTCCTGCAGAGCACGTCCAGCTCCTGCTCTAAAGAGACATTCAAGCCTGTGTAAAAATTAGTTTTGTGTGTGGGAGTCACTTCTGTCTGAAGCATCGGTTTCTGCTCATATTTGCTTTTTATAGTTCAGATATTACATACTTTGACAAGACATAAATGTGTGTGACAGTGTTCAAAAATAACAAGGCAAAAATGTCACTGTATTTACATGCTATTATTATATTAAGTGTGTAACGGTCATTCTACATAGATCAGTGGTAACGGTACATATTCATTCCAAACGGTCACAGCATAGATGTCACCGTTCGGTGCAATCTAAAAATGCTGGGTTATTTCAACCCAAATTTGGATCAAATATTGACAAACCCAGTGATTGGGTTAACATTTTAAATGACATTTTAACCCAAAGTTTGGGTTTGTCCATATTTATCCAAAATTGGGTTAAAAAACAACCCAGGAATTTTTAGAGTGTGCATACAGTCAAAAGATGTATAGTCAGTCAAATGGGCATTCCACAGTACAATCCAGAAGGGGACGTGAGCGGTAAATGCAACACGGTGTCAAGGAAAAGGAGAGGAAGAAGAAGAGATGATCTATTCACCATCCCAAAACAAGATTGGCGTCTCGCCATTGGAGAGTTCAGATGGCACGCAAGAGCTTTCTAGAAGCCCACGGAAAGGAAACTGGGATGGCAGAGAGCGGCATCCTGTTTGTTTTCTTTATTTTGCACATTGTTCATTCATTGAACGCATTAAACTTTAGTTTACAAACACGTGAAACTCACCGAGTGGTCTGGGGTGTTCACTGATATGCTCACACAAAAAGCGCTGCAAAAGATGCTTTCCAACAGGTTTTATCGTAGTTTTTGTACCAAGTTTCAATGGAGATGGACAAAAACTATGATTGAAAACAGGGCTTTATGTGTAAAATACCAAACTAACCCTTCCTTTCAGTTATTTCCGCTGGAAAGACAAACTCATTTGGCATTTGTGTCGTGGAAGTCTCACTAACAGTCCAATACTGAAAAACGTGTGTCCTGGAAATGGGAAACCTCAGGTGAAGCTTATCGTTGAAAGGTGAAGTAGGCTATTTTTCCCCTCCTCTCTCATCTTTCCGTGATTTCTTGAAAAAGCTTAACACTAAACTGTGCATCTACCATTGTCATTCTCATGTGCAAAGAAAACTATTCTCTATTCTATTTATTTTTTTACTTTTATATTACAAGAGATGCTTTTCAGTTTTGTAGCTGATTGTGGCCAAATACCTTTTGCTTTCTTTTACCAGCAATAGAAAAATAATATGAGCCGTTTACTGCTTAGTACACTAAAGGAATATGCTGCTAGGTAATTTCAACTACTGTCTGTTCAAAATAAATGAAAAGAAACCTAGCATTGGGGATTTGTTGCTTTTTCCTGTTGTATCCTGTATACACAACACACACACAAACCTTGTTTCATTTTTAGATAGAGATCCCTGAAAGTAAAGGTAACTTGGAGTTATGCAAGTAAGATTAAATGTTGATTCAGTAACCACTTTGACTGATTCAGAGAGTTCATTAAATGAAGGTTTTGTAATACTGATTCAAACTGAGACTTTCTGAATGTCTCATTAAAATAACCACATTTGTTTGGGTAATACTGGTTGCTAGGTATGATTTGTTTATTTGCGTGCAGCTCAATAGAAAGGAGTTCTTGCAATTATTCAGTGGCACAGTTCCTTTACACAATTCATTCTGACTACAAGCTTATAACTCCTGGTGTGTGAAGGGCACTGTGTGTGTCTGTGCAGAAAAATGTCCCATCTATCCTGACATAGTAAAAAGTAATGCCCTTAAATAAACATACTATAAAATCCAAAGTCAGCACTTGAGCAAAAACAGATGAAGAAAGAAAGTAAAAGAAGAAGGATGTAGTTCTCACTTTCCCATAAATCCCATGTGTGTTAATGGGGATGGGCCAATCGGTAAAGTAACTACAACAGGATCCCCGTTTTCAGAGGTCTGCAGTATTTCCCAGAATGCAACAACACTGCACAATGTAACAGTTTAATTTCAGAAACCGGTAGTAAGTGGTGATGTCACTGACTGAGACAAAGTGCGAGCCTGTGAGGTGTGCGTGTTTCAAGGGGCTTGAAATAGACAGACATAGTGAACAGAAAACTCTCAAGGCTTTATGTTTCTATTTCTATTCTATTATAAAAAAAATGGTTTAAGAAATTATCATCATAAAAAAAGGAAAGTAAGAGGAAATAATGATGATCTCACAAAGGAACTGACGGAGGTCCGTTTTAAGCCTGATAGTGTTAAGTGTAGAGCATATACACTGAATAGTCAAACTTGGTGTTGAACTCGGACTGAGATACAACAACAGTTCCCCCAAGCCTGTGTTCGCAACTTCCTCTTCCTCTCACAGATGATTGTATGCCTCGAGCACAGGCTCTTTCAAACCAGCACAACTAGGAAGCTACACACACACAAAGACTCGGAAAAAAAGGGTGATGGAGATGGAGTTAGCTGTGGTGCAAAAACTGCATCCAATGCAGAAAACAAACACAAATTGATTACCAATGCAAACCCTGGCACAAACAACAAATACAATTAAATACTTCAATTTGCAATCATTCAGCCATTTTGTGGTGTAACCCCGATCAATATGCATTACTGTCTATTTAAAGTTTAGACTGCATTGCACACACACTCACATTAAACCAAACTGCTGAAAATATCAACAAGACAGTTAATTTTTATCCGTTTATATTTATAATTTCATTTTTTTTCTTCTTGATATATGAAGATCACATTAAAACATACTTTAAAAGTTGCTCTCATCTCTTCATTATTATATTCCACTTTTTTAAATGGCTTAGATTGACCATCTGATGTGATTCACAACTGTCCAATATCGGGGCTAATTTCTATAGCAACGAATTTAGAATTAAGATGTAATGTTAAATTATACAGAAAGTTTGAAAATATGATTTAATTGTGTGTATATTGAAAAAATAAAATCCTAGCTTTGAATTTATCCTTAGTAAGACAAGAGTCAGCCATGTTTTTCCTTGTGTAAAACTGAGCTGATATTAATTCACACTTTATATAATAAAGAATGATTATATAATGGCATAATTGTCTGCTGCAAATTCAGTGCTTACCTGTCGAACTGAGGTCAGAGTGGGTGAAGGAAGGCGGTCTCGTATCCTACAGCGCAGGGGCTCCAGATGAGGGGAGGAGCTTGAGGTCCCGCCACAGAAACCTGTTACTCACGCATGGTCCCTGTAACAAACAAAGTCGTCTGTTAGAGGGATTACATTGAGTAACAGTAACCACACATTTATTAGTGATAAATACACTATACAGTATAGAAGCTATGGTGATTAATCAGATGATGTTTGGCCAACTTGAGATTATTACTTCATCAGATAATCCTTGCAAATATATTTCTGTCATTGAATAATTCAGGTTATAAGTTGAGTAAATATTAAAATAAGCATTCATCAAAATGAACAAAACCCTCTTATGCAATATTAAATACACTTAACTTAAAATGCTATTTATCCAGCATTTAGATAATAAATGCCTGTCACCATATATACAATCACACTCATTTGAATAAAAAAAAGACAGAAATAACAATCAAAGTCCACATTAAGTGCAGCATTTTAGGCGGAGCCAGAGATTTTATGCACATACAAACACATAATCCCTAGTTTATTAAAATAAATACCTAAAAATTATTCCTTTTTCATAAGATGTCCCACATTTTTCTTTTAAAAAAGGGTTCAAGAGATATAAAGAATGACCATTACCAACGATGATTAAGTTCCAGACTCATGGGAAATCAAAAATCGCTGTAGGAAAATTAAGCAGCCGCATTTAGCGTTCTGCATGTAAATCTATCAAATGTAAAAAAGAGGAAAGTCATGATCAGAAAAGACTGCATGATTATTTCAGACAGCCTCTTCTCCTCCAAGTTAGTGGCCTTTCCACACTAATATAATCTTTTCCTATCCTTCAATACCTCCTTCTCCAACTGAAGTGTTTGTGTGTGCATTGTGAGGGAGTTTGTAAAGATGATGGCATCAAATCAGTTGTTCCAGGTAGGTTATTCTTCCATATGGCTCAGGCATGCTGCATTCTGAGCTAAGATGAATAAAAGATCAGCATGCAAGCTCAACATCTCTTTTAGACGGAGAGTGACACTCGCACACATTGGCAGTAAGGTCTTGAGCGAGGTGGTGGTCACTGAGCTGCTACGCTCAATCAAAAGCACGTATCTAATCCTTCAAACATTGTACAGGCCTTTCCACAGTCCACCACACAACACACACACCACATCAAGACCCAGAGACTGTGTTTGTTAGACAACTTCCCAAAAACCTGTTTGTGTTTGTGAGGTGTGTGACACTGCTAGTGTTAGAGCCTTTCCCAGGAGCCATGGAAACGGCTGCTAGATGAACAAAGGCCCAATTAAAGACTCTCGTCTACTGTGAGCAGGTCTCTACGGCAACAGTCTTTATATCCTTCACAAAATTCAGACACACACATATTCAAGATGTTTTCATACTTTTTATTTTAGTTCACATTTTAGCCTGTTTCTTGTAATGATTGTATTTTTAAATTACTTTTTTTACAATAAAAACTATGCAAATTCAAGCTGTCATTCGAAATAATTATATATATTAATTGCATGTTGTTTAATAGCATTACTCAGAATTGAATTTACTTTATCATTAGTCTGTCCATTTTCACCGGTATGATGTGGACACAACGCACCTGATGTACTGTACAAAGTAAACAACTCAACTTTGTAAAAAAAAAAAAAAAAATAGTTTTTTTTAATCATTTTTAACACCGAACCTAAAAATACAAAACAAACAAACGAAAAAAAAAAATGCTTTTATGACGTATATTTTGCGACAGAATTTACCAAAAAAACAAAACAATGCTCTATGCTGGACTAAGGAAGAGACACGATTCTGATCCCTGTACCGAACGGCAACATCACAACTATGGCGAGAAAAACAGGTATGTGTGAACATTCTGTTTTAGGGTAAAATAAGCCTATACCCTAAAATGGACAGAATGTTCAGGCATACCTGTTTTTTTTTTGTTTTTTTTACAGTTGTTTACTTCATAAACTTTAGTAAAAGTAATTAAACCTGTTATAGCACGACAACACTTTTTTTGCAACTTATTTCAATATCATGATAATATCGTATACCGTGATAAAAGCTTCAGCAATTATCGCAACATGAAAATTTTATACCCTCCACATACATTATTTATTATAAAAACCAAATGAAACTTAAACTATACAGATGTGAGGGAAATGTGATGTATACAAATAAACTTTGGCTAACATGCATCTTTCATTTGGCACACATTCAAATGTGTGTGTTTTGAGCATGTTCTGCATGATTGACACTAACTGCATTAATAAGACCCTTTGGAAGTTGCAGGAAATTTCAGATTATAAAAAAAAATGTGTCTTAAAAAAGTCGATATAAGCAAACTTTTCAATTTCAAAAAGTATACTTACTATACTGTGTACAATTTCTATCTTTTCTTTTTCTTTTATGTGTATCTTTTCTATAATTTCTATTTCTAACTTCCTGTGTATTGTAAAATATGTTAACACAGGACATAAATGTATGTTTATCATTTAAGACTTTTATTTGCAAATTACCTTCAACTGCCTGTGAAATAAGTCCAACTGGTGAACACTGAATTGGCAGTCATATTTAAATATGCTGATGATTACCATGACATGTTCTAAATCTGTTTGCATCTTAATTTCCATAAACGGTCTCAAAATGAAGTGAAGTTTCGTTTTTTGAACATGTTTACATGATAGATCACTCTGTAAGGAAAATCACTTTTCCATGATATGCCACTTTAAACATACATACATTTTCATAAATAGAATAATGTAAATGGTTAATAAATGATAAGGCTAATATGACTACTAACTTTCCACCTAACTAAATCCACCTCTCTTTCGGACCTTATCCAGCCTCACTTCCTCCCTCATATGAGGCTTGGTAAATCTCTCTTTGTAGAGAACCACAAACAAAAGTAATCAGTATAAAAATGTGCAAGGCAAATGACCAGACAAAACCACACATGGTCCATGGACATGCTGAAACATGCTACTACTCGGAGTGTTTCAGCATATAAAATGTTCTCAGGCAGACAGTGTGCACACACACAAGCTTTCTCATGCAGCATGTCCACCCTTTATTTTCACTGGACACAAAAGAACCCACAAAAAGGAACTAATATGAACCCTCCTGCAAACACACACATATAATAAAACACTAAGGTGACACTGTGTTTCTCAATGAAGATCAATTCTCTTTTCAACAGCAAGGCTTCTGGACTACATCGATCACAAAAGCACTTACTCTTCCCTCTTTAACACTTTATCACCCTCAGAGAGCTGCCCTATTAACACACATCATCTCTCACACACAAAGGAAACCTGCTGTGACACATATGTAAATGTCTGTATCAGTATTTTTCCAAATTAGACAGTAAAGTCAATTAAAGGCACAATATGTAAGTTTTTTTCGCCACAATACGGCGCAGTTTCCAACAATTACAAAGGCGTAGGTTTGACACAGTGATGGAACTTACTGTCAAGCTGATGGATCTAATAATGTTTATGGATGAGTGCAAACATTATGTTTTTTAACATTAATGGTATGAAGTAGGTCGGGATTGCGAAAGAGACAGACATCACAAACGAGTCCCGTGGATATAAAGGAATAAGGACATTTAATTCTACGGACAACCCGCAAGTGCTGGATAACTCACACAGGTCAGTTTATTGAAAGAATTAAACTTGTAACACAGCACTGCTTCACTTGGTCTAACGTTGCACTATCACAGTAAACGGCATTTAAATGTGTGCTGAAAGTTAAAATGTTGTACTGCGTGTTAGTTCGTTTGCTAAACGAAACTAGGAGTAAGCTAGATCAACATTAGAATAACGTACTGACCATATTCTAACATTTCATCATGTTGAGCTAACGTTATATAACATTGATTTGTTATATGTACATTTGCTCACCTGTCTAATAAATGACTGAAGCTCTGTCAAATCCAAGTTAGTTGCGGACGTGGAGCTCTCGGCATCAAAAACACCATATTGATCCTCATTTTAGTTCTCCTTGTTTGCTTGCCATGGTCTATGTTTGAAAGAAACAAGAACTGCGTGCCGCTAACCGTTATGCACTACGCAGTTGTCCACGTCTGTCGCCATGGTTACGTCATGGCTATGGCAGTATGAACTGAAACCGAGGAGAGCGCGGACATTGCGTCATTGACGGGCGACATTTTTTTCTGGGTCGGACACTTATTTCAAATTTCTCTGAAATAAAAAAATCTTTGGAGACTTTTGGGATATTGTAAGTAGACAACTGCAGGAAATATATCACACTGTGCAAGTAATTTTTGGATATTTCATTACAAAAATCTTACATGTTGTCCCTTTAAATATGCTACAATCTAATACACTACATTGGTTATACACCTTATTCACGGCAGCGCCATCTTTGATTTTTAATGAGAATGAAAGCGAGGCTGTGAGGGATAGTCATGCATCTCTTCAATGGGCTGTACTGTTATTTAATGTGTTTTCGGATTGTTCTGCTCATGAAACACTGAAAAAATATCTTTCCAAGAAATTTCAGTTGACAAAAAACTCCCGACAATGTAAGCTGTGGAAAATTGTAAGTATCTAGCAGTTTTATTCAGCTTTTTACAGCGGATGCCATTGGAAACACGGTAAGTCTATCCCTCACAGCCTCACTTTCATACCTGTCATGGCGCTGCTCTGAATAAGGTGTATATCCGTCCAATACCATATCAAGAAAAAAAAAAATAGATAAGCCTACATATTTTAAGATTCAAAATGTATGTTTATATTTATAATATGTTTACTACTGTTCAACAAGAACATTTTTAAGAAATAAATACAATCATATATAGGGGTGGGCGATATACCGGTAGCAATTAACTGGTAGAAATTTATTATTGTCACATTATTTTTTCTCATTTTAATGCTCTTATAAACATGGAAAAGTGGATCGACTTGCTTTGTGCAAATGTTTTTTTATTGAAAACAACATTGGCATATACTGTGTTCAATTTCACAGTAACATTCTCACTTGGAGCAAATAATCTCTCACACAGTATAACACTGTCTATCAATAAAAGGGTGAAAGAAATACTGACGAGGTCTGTGTGTGTGCTTGGCCATCATCGAGCGC